GCTAAAACAGAATACAAAAACGGCTGGAAGTCTGGAGTCATGGAGATAATGACAAACGGCAGAACAGGAACTGAGTGTCTCTATAGAGGAATAAGTTCATCTGCTTATTTCTGAGCTGAATATATGCACGGTAAAATGGAACCGTTAATAGGACTGATGGATGGATGGAACTGTAATACACTGACCATATTTTAAATTAACAAATATGTGAGTTACTCCCTAAGTCAACTGCTTGAGTTTCTCCAACAAATGAAATGAAATACGTTCACAGAAGAGAAAAAGAATGTCACAAGAGGACAGCACTCGTTTGCATAGGTAGATATAGCAACTGCGTACCTCGGGGATCCACATGCGAAGAGCTCATGTCAGGAGTTTAAACAGAGAACCGGAATATGACATGAGAAGGAGTTGATTAGAGAAGGGACCCCCGTGGGGGTCTGTGCAAGACTGGTACCAGATCTGAGGAAAAATTCGAAAACAGCGGTAGAATTCTCCTTGTTTGCACAAGATCATTGTTATGGGAGTCCCTGCTCGCTTACACTGGCTGACATTCTTGTGCATACATGAGAAATATCCTTTCGAAAGCTGCAGCACCGGAAACGTCGTGCAATATATATATATGTAGTGGCACCGCAGTCTCTTATTATGTAACTAAATAGATTAAAATGTGTGGTGTGGGGGGAACAAATCTTCTTAGCATTATTATGAATATAACATTACCGGACGAGCCAACGAACTGGAAGAGATGTATTTCGCTGCGTTTTACTTCTTTCGGCTTACACATCTCACATATCTTCAATCTTCGTAGAAGGACACTTCCTCTGTATCACTAGAATTATTGTTACTAGCTCAGTTGGTATACCGACAGGCTAAGAGCCGGGATTGGATTCCTGGTTGGGGCAAAAGTATCTTTCTACTACACAGTGTCCAGGCCGGCTCCAGAACCCACCCAACCTCCTAATGGATACAGAAGTTAAAGCGACAGTGACGAGGTCAAGAATAGTAAAGCTATGCCTTCACTTCTCCATCTGTCTTCACGGCACAGTGCCATGAACATCGGCGTTATTGTGGCAAAGAATATTCGGAAGAACATATTTGAAGAGTATGTGTATGCTCATAGACCGGCTCTATGGTCTAGTGGTCAGAGTAACTGGCTACAGATCCAGAGGTTCCGGGTGCGATTCTCGGCGCTACCAGATTTTCTGAGAAGTAGTGGGTCTGGAACGAGTTCCACTCAGCCTCGTGAGGGTAACTGAGGAGTTATTTCAAGGAAATAGCAGCTCCGATCTACAAAACCGAGATTAACGACCGTGGGGATCCGGTGTGCTGACCACGTGACACGCTGTATCCGCTAAAGGTGGCACTAACTTCGCCGACAAGCGGCAGTCTCTCGGTCGGCATAGTTCGCTTACAGACTACAGGACACGGTGTTTTATTTCTTTCGTTTTGTATGCCTAGGCATATATTTTAATTTGGAATGCAACTTCCGCATATTTTTTCTGTCATCATTCTGAACTCCACACATACACACACACACACATACAAACACATACACACATGCACGCACCATATAATAAGCACTTGCTTATATCTCAATGATAATATTCGTAAAACAATACGGAAATGACGCATGTTTCTGAATTAGAAACACATTAAATGCTGTAAATGTGACATTGGTATGATTTCGCAAAGCTTCTTATAAATTTATTATTATAACACAATAGTAACAGCCCACACAGCTCACTACAGACATGTGCCATTAAGGATGTTTCATTCGTAAAGGAGGAAGAGTACTTCGCTTCGTCCGTCTGTCCATCCGCTTGTCTATCTAGTAATTAGGAACTATGGAAGAGATATGTAGCAGATCGCTCTGAGTGGTTTGCCTGACGAGGATCGCTTAGTGTTTGACTGCAAGAAAAAGGAATTATGCCCAATGCTGATAGTAGCCGGACATTTTGGGTAATGGTTGCCAGAAGCAATCAACACACACTGGAAGTGTGGAGCGAGAGATATGTGTTACTAATTATACACACCAGGATTAAGCTAAAAACACTTAGCTTGTTCTCAAAAGTTCTAATGGAATACAAAGAAATGTATAACTGACGTCATGGGGAAGACTGATTCTTAGAAGATGACACTCACTCAGCAGTTAAAAAAATATCAGCTCTCTATGAAACCCAAAGCTTTATTACTATCACAAGATCCATCTACACGGCCTTATCCTGAGTCACTTATAAACAAAACAAAAAGAACTCCGAGGTTTTGGTCCGCAAGCGAAATGTACCGACCGCCTCTGTGGTATAGTGGTCAGAGTTCCTGGCTACAGATCCACAGGTCCGGGTTCGATTCCAGGCTCTACCAAATTTTTTCTGAGAGGTTGTGGGTCTGGAACGGGGTCCACTCAGCCTCGTTATGATAATTGAGGAGCTATTTCAAGGAAATAGCGGCTCCGGTCTAGAAAACCCAAATTCACAATAGTGGGGATTCGTTGCGCTGACCACGCGACACCCCCTATCCGCTAAAGTTGGCACTAATTTCGCCGACAAGCGGCGGTCGCTCGGTCGCTCGGTCGGTCAGTCGGTTTACCATTTTTGGTAAAATATTGTTTGTTCTTTCTCGTAGACTCTCCTCGGCAGGTTTCTTGACTTAAAATTTGTGTTCATTTTATATCTCACCTATACGTGCTACACGTTCTGTACTTATAATCCGCCTTAACTTGATCACCTTAATAATATTCGGTGACAAGCAATTACTATATAAATCTATTGTGAAATATTCTCCAGCTTTCTGCTCATAAACTTGTATTTATAAGTATGGTAAATGTACCGTTACCTCACGCTTTTAGTGTCAGACACAGGTGTATATAAATTAAAACGGTAATTTTATAGACGGTTTCCTCAAGGGGCGAGTTTGAGTGAAATGCATAAGCCTCAAAGAAGCGAAGGTGTCCTCGCTATCAGAAAAATCTGCACTAGATACCACACTCCCTCGTTGCCGTAACAAACAGTTGTATCATCTCACGTCTTTAGCACCTTGAGTTCTCTTCCTTATACCTCCCGCTCAACACCTCTTTTGCCGTGACTTGGAGCGTCGTCTCGCTATTTATCTCATTTGCAGCGCGCCGAGTCCCTCGAGAACCCCATCCCCTCCGCCACTTTCTCCTCTGCTCCTTATTTCTAATAAAATAATCCGGCAAATGGTCTCCAAGGAGACTAAAAAATGGCATGGCCCACTTTGTTGTATATACAATCTCTCGCTGTAGCGGATACCGAGGAGTCTCGATGGGCTTGTTGCAAGGGAAGTCGCTGTACATTCCGAATCAGTCGTCTACTGAGACAGCACTGATGTCTTTCACTGCAATTTCAAATTCCTTTTCCTTTTTTATTGCTAGTGGGTTGGGACTAAGTCCCTTGTACTGCGGCCATTTCTGGCCTATTGTACCTGCCCAAGATGATAGGTGAGGGTGATTATGAGCAATTGGTGGAATGAAGATTGGCAGGGGAAACCGAAGTACTCGGAGAAAACCTGCCCCAGAGCCACTTTGACCACCACAAATCTCACTTGACCAGACCCGGGATCGAAACCGGGTCGCCGCGGTGGGAATTCCAATTACTTACTTCATGTCTGCTGCACAAAAACATAAAAATTAAAATATACCAAACAATAAAAAACAAACCCAGTGGCTTGAGTCTGTAAGCGAACTATACCGACATAGCGACCGCCGCTTGTCGGCGAAGTTAGTGCCAATTTTAGCGGATAGAGGGTGTCGCGTGGTCAGCGCAACGAATCCCCACGGCCGTTAATCTCGGGTTTCTATTTCCTTGAAACAGCTCCTCAATTATCCTCACGAGGCTGTGTGGACCCCGTTCCAGACTCACTACTTCTCAGAAAATCTGATAGCGCCGGGAATCGAACCCGGACCTCTGGATCTGTAGCCAGGAGCTCTGAACACTAGAACACAGAAGTGGTCAAAACTATAATTTTACCTGTGGTTATGTATGGGTGTGAATCTTAGTCTCTGACATTAAGGGAGGAACATAGACTGAAGGTGTTTGAGAACAAGGTGCTAGGAGAATATTTGGATCGAAGAGAAATAAGGTGAAGGGATGTTGGAGAAAGCTGCATAATGAGGAGCTTCACAACTTGTACTCTTCTCCAAGTATAATTAGAATGATCAAGTAGATTCTAAAGGGTTTTTACAATGGTGGATGACATACAGAATTACTGGGGTTTTGGACTTTTCCGGACGATGGAAAAGTCCAAAACTCCAGTAATTCTCTGTAGAATGATCAAGTCAAGGATATGATGAACAGGGTATGTAGCACGAATGGGGGACAATATGAATGCATATAAGATTTTGGTGGGAAAGCCAGAAGGAAAGAGAGCACTAGGAAGACCAAGGCGTAGGTGGTGGCAATATTAAAAAGGATCTTGGAGAGATAGTTTGGGGTGGTATAGATTGGATTGATTTGACTTAGAATAGGGACCAGTGTGGGGCTCTTGCGAACACGGTAATGAACCTTCGGGTTCCATAAGATACTAAGAAGTTTTTGAGTAGCTGCGCAATTTGCAGCTCCTCTAGAAGGGTTCAGCTCCGTGAGTGAGTGAATGAAGCAGATATGACGCTATTTAATTTTTCAATTCCGATTTTCTGAATATGTATATTTTGAAAAAGTTTTCTACTTTCTGGGATATATTGCAGTGTAGCCCGAGGGAAGTCAACAGACGTTTCGGAGGAACATGTGATCTTCAGTTTCAGGATTGAAGATTAAGCCAAGAAAGAAACCAGCATGGTGCATGCATTACGAGATATGTTCCTCCAAAACTTGACTTTCACCGGACTACACGGCGTCATGCCTTAGATTATAGGCCTGCAGCTTTGCAGGTGGCGTTACGCATTTATGTATGTATATGTATACGTATACATGCCCATTTTAGACTACAGAATTCATTGACATGGCTGATCTCTCGGCACTGAATTGGCTGGTTCTTTGTTTCAGGAGTGCGCCAAGAGCAAGATATTTACGTCAGGCTTATCGACTCCGTCACGAAACAGGTAAGACTCTTCCTTAACACGCTTCACAGCCTATTGAACCTCAATTTAATGAACTGTAAATGGAATTCCTATGATTCTTATTCGAAATGAGACCGCTGGTTGCCTGATTGCATCATTTTAACCACCTACTGCTGCTCACTGATTGAACGAAACTGCAACCTCGTTTTTAAGAAGCTACCATTGCTCAGTTAGTCAAGATCTTCAAATCAGTCAACTACTAACCTCCATTCTTGTGCAGATAAATCCAGTGTACACACTCTCATCCCAGTATTTTACGATCCATTTTATTATTACCCTCTCATCCTTAGCTACGCCTTCCAAGCGATTTCTTTCCTTAGGCTTTCCTATCAAGACTTAGTATGCGTTGCTTTTCGCTCCGATGCGTGTTGGATGTCCCATCACAATGTCCTGGATTTTATCTTAAAAAAAATAATAATAATAATTCTTAACAAGCCTATCAAGTAATTTAAATCACCATGCCAGTAAAGTGCAGGCACTTCAGCAGTCACTATATTCTCCGATAGCTGACACGAATAAATTGTGCTAGTTCTAGAAATTTTGAGAGGTGTACAATTATACACACCAAATACTACAGGGGAGACAAATAAATTTGATCTCACTATGCTAAAAACTAGCTTTCCATCAATGGTCACGGTTAAAAGGGCATGGCATTTATTCAAATGCGTTTCGTCCACCCTAGGTCGCGCAAAGTTATTCATCGAAGTCCCAGTCCCATTTTAGTGTATCATAATATGCTAAAGGCCTCTCTCATCGTCACTGGTTTTAGGCCCTCCTCACAACTACCAGGCAAGGATCACCCATTGTCCTATGTTCGAAACAGTAACAAATTTGGGTTTCCGCTCGCCACTGATATAGAACTGGAAATTCTACTATTTTTCTTCGATTTTATTCACCATTTTGTTATGGAAGCCATCCAGAGTATGCTCGTACATGCCTGATGAAGAATATTCGTGATAATCAGGCCGTCCAGACACATTTCCGTGTTGGTAGGATCTGTGCCACTGTGGGCCACAGTTCTGACAATGTTGAATCTGCAATTTGGAGGAGACAGGACGAAAAAGCGAAAGGTAAAATGAGGTGAAGAGTGTGTGGGAAGGAGACGGTAGGAAGAGGATGGAGAAAGATATTGGTTTCCTGTATGGGAATAAGGAAGAACTGAAGTTTGACTGAACTGCCTGGTTTCATATTTTACAAAATAAATTCCAGTTAATGTTCAAACGGGATCAAGACTACAAAAAACTAAAAAAAAAAAACTCCGTGGACTGTAGTCCGCAAGCGAACTATACCGACCGAGCGACCTCTGCTTGTCGGCGAAGTTAGTGCCAATTTCTGCGGATAGAGGGTGTCACGTGGTCACCGCAACGGATCCTCATGGCCGTTAATTTCGGTTTACTAGACCGGAGCCGCCATTTCCTTTAAATAGCGCCTCAATTATCCTCACGAGATTGAGTGGACCCACTACTTCTAAAAAAATCTTATAGCGCCGGGAATCGAACCCGGGGCCTCTGGATCTGTAGCCAGGAACTCTGACCAATAGAACACAGAGCCAGTCAAGGCTGCAGACAGTAATTACTATGCCAGCATCAACTAACACATCGACTTGTGTATAAAATGTTCTGATGCAGGAAGTTGGATAGGCAGCTTTCCTTTCATTATTAAACTTCACTATTTAGTCTGGAGTTAAGCGAAGTCGCTTTATGAGCTTGCGATTACATGTCAGGTTATGAGTTTATTCACCGTACAAAGACACATTATGAAGAGCATGGGACGAAACTTGTAGCTCAATTTCATATATTACTCCGACATATCTTGTGACTCACTGATGAGGAGAGAGCAGGAGAATCTCTTAGAATAGCCAGTACGGAAGTAGGATCCTAAATACATAATTCCCAGACAATAAAGGGAAGTATTACGGTTGGGCTAACCCAAAGAAAAGAAAAGAAAAAACAGTTTCGAGTGTCTTAAATGTAACTGAATCACAGGTCAATATTACATCAACTGCCGCATTACAAAATTCTTAATTACAGATGTTGTGGTCATTCTAAGTATCGTTAGATACTTGTACATATTCCAAATTTCACCTTCCTTACTTCCCTGTGTGTTCAAATTTACGATGTGATAGCGTAGACGGTATAGTGACTGGCTACGGGATGGATGACCGAGGGATTGCAGTTCGAGTCCAGGGGGGGGGCAAGAATTTTCTCCTCTCCAGGTGGTTCAGACAGGTTTTGGGGTCCAATCAATATCCTATCCAGTGGGTACCGGGCCTCTTTCCCCGAGGTAACGCGTCAGGGGCATGAAGCTGACCACTCACCTCCAACTAGTGCAGAGATCAAGAATATGTGGATCTATACACCCACTCCCCCAGGCGCCTTCATAGAATAGTGCTTAATCAGTTAAGCACAGCGACAACTTTACCTTTATTTTTGTGTTTTCAAATTGCGTGCTCGCGTTAGCGTAGTTGTTTGAGGCACTATGCTACAAGCCGAAAGGTCGCGGGTCCGGGTCCCGAAGAGGTGGATTTTTTCAATTTACCTAATTCTTCGAGCCGCACTACGGCCCTGGGGTCGACTCAGTCTCTGTCAGAAATGAGTACCAGGAATCTTCCTGGTGGGTGAGGGGCGGCTGGCGCGTAAGGCTGTCAAACTTACCGTCATCTGTGAGCCGATTGTCTAGACAAAATGTGGAAGCCTCGACGTCTCACGAACCTATGGGCCTTCACGGCCTGTTGTAGGGGTAGTTTTACTGTTTTATGTGGTCAAATTGGAAAATTCTTTCAGGGACAATATAACAACTCATTCTCGGTACACGCTGCAGTCATTTATCTGCCCAGTCTTGAATAATTCGTTTTGCATAATCGCGCGTAACCCACAGTACTTTCATTTTCCACAGTTTCGTATTAATCAACTAACGTCTTGGATGTTGTGAATTTTGATGCGAGATAAACGGCAGTTGAAGCGAGTGTTAATATGGTGAACTGATGTTTGTTTCATGTGTATTTAATGAAAATTTGTCAACCGATGAAAAAGTATACATTGATTATAAAGGATGGTTTGAAATAATGTGGTAGGATACGCTCATGAACATTTCAGGATAATTTGCCAGCATTTTTCTTGGGATCACAGAAACTCTATTGTGGAGACCTAAGTCTATACATCCAGCTTCCCAGCTGAATTTCGAATCTGTAATCTCCTGAATACAAGAAAATGGACTATTAACCAGTAATTTGCGACGATCCGTCATGGAGGTGCCAAGTATGAGGGTCATGAACAAGGACGCCGCACTTGGCAGGGATCCTAACTACTTGTACCTCTCGAATTCACTTCAGACTAGTTATCGCGAAATTAATTCCTTCGTCAACAATTTCATGGAATTAGCCTAGTGGGGTGTTTTGGGCTGAAAACCCCAGACAGGAGTTTTAAACTGCGTCTGAAGCTTTAATACAACTACGAAGGAGTGTAGGACACAATTGATATTATTAGTCACGCATTACTTTTTAACGCATTAATCCTTAACCAGAGTGGAAATGTATAATATGACACGGGAAACACAATGTTTAGTCATATCAAAGAAAACTGATAATCTTCGAATTCAAGTTTTATGAAAGTGATGTTATGAAATTCACTGCATAAAATTTAGCGCAGATGTTGCGCATAAAATTTGTAGTTAGATGTTTTAAATTGTTTACAATATAAAAAATTTGAATAGATTAATATTTACTTTTACTTACATATTCTTACCACAATTCAATACTTGTGTATTTGGCAATGAACGCTTAAAAGCAAATTGAAACGTCTAACAAGATTGTTGCATTGTGTCCTGCTTTCAATTGTTGCTGAAATCAGTGGAGTGATTTCAAATTAGAAGAAAATAAGTATTAGGCAGCACTGCAACAAGAATTGTGTGGGGTGTACTGAATGGGTAGCTTAATGGTAAGACGAGAGAAAGGAGAGACATGAAAAGAAAATGAAACAGTGTTTACGAAGGCAAAAGAAGAGCGAAAAGAATAAAATTACAATCCAATGAATGCGACAAGCACATGAATACGCAAATTAGGAAGCGAACCTGTTTTTCACTTATCTTTATTGAAGTGTGCTGGAAACTGCGTGGTTCTGCTATGAATGTTTCTGAAGGCATTAAATCTTTTAAATATAACAGCAAAGCTAAGCTGCTGGAAATGCTCTGTGACCCTGTATCCGCCATCCGTTTTGAAAGGAACGTTTTGCAGATGAAAGCGCAGACAGAAGCGCGCTGCATGAGGATACACACTTTCGCTTCGAATTCTGCTAAGTACAAACCAACTGCAATTGTCCTGAGCTGGGACAGTGCAGTTAGTACAGGGACGAACTATGAACTGGACGATCGGAACTGATTTCCCGGTAGGGGCGAGATATTTTTCTCTCCTTAACGTCAACCAGATCGGCTCTGGGGCACACCCAGTCTCCTATCCAGTGGGTACCGGGACTCTCTCACCGGGGTAAAGCTGACAACTCACCTCTGTCTAGTGCCAAGGTCAAGAATAGACCAATTTTCACATACATACAGAACCACAGGCAAAATTATAGTTTTGTATATTCTAATTTTTATGTTTTTGGACAGCAGATGAGAAGACAAAAGGTTCTGGACTGAATGGTAGCAAGCATTACCCGAGTTCGGTCTCCTCTTAATTTCCTCCTGAATCAGGTTTTGATTTGATATCGTCGTCAAGAATTCATATCATTTGTCGTGATAAAATCGTCGAAAATATCTGGAACCGAGCTGTAGAGCAGAGAAGTAAAAGAGGGAAGAAATCAAGAAAGAAATAAAAGGAAAGAAATGAGGAAGTATAGAAATGAAACAACCAACAATTCCAAGAAACATCTTCCTACAATTCCCTGCTTGCGATTGGCATAACCATATGAAAAGGGGAATCACTGTCACGCCTTGGCACTACCTCTCTAGGCTCTTCTAGTTTCCTTCGGAAATGCGCGAATCTAGAG